CAGAGGTGTCACATGTGAAAATGGACCAAATTCCAGTTTTATACCAGTATGATCAGAGAATTAAAAGGAGCAAGAATAATTGGGAGAATGTTGAGAGGAGATACTTGTTTACTCTGCACATTGTAGCCTTTTCTCACCCGAAGTCCTTGGAATACTGACGCGAGTGACCTCCCTCAGGAAACAGTGAGGGCTTTTTCTATCACTAAATAACCAGCGGTTGCTAGGAAGAATCAAACACTAGTGAGCAGTTAGAGGAAGACAATTACTGCTCTAAATTTCATCTGAAAAATGCAAGGCTGAGGAGCACAGGCCGGTGTACACCATCAGAATCACCTGACAATGCCATGACTCCGAGTCATCTGCACTCTGAAGTAAGACTAGAGCCCTCAGAGCCTGCAGCTGGTAGACCTGGAGTCTGTGTGACTTCTTACTGTGCACTCGGGTGCATCCTTGGACAACCTCAGGCCAAGCAATGACGGATTGATTGAATGGAGATAAAAACCATCATTTCCAATTTGGTGACACATTTCTCAAGTGGCAGCCATGCAGGTTGGGAAGAGAACCAAGAAGCCAGTCCAGCCTTCTCATGAGACATCGCCAGTCACGGGCCAGAAGAAAACCAGGAAGTCAGCCTGCCCATCCCACGAGCCAGCCCGTGCATAGGCTGGGAGACAGCAAGCGCTCACCTGTCCCCGTGTAAGCAGCCAGCTGATTTGGAGAAATACAGCCTGGGGTGATAGCAACCGAGGTACAAAAACAACTTACTGCTTGTGTTGATAGATGGAATTTTTAGGCCTGAAGCCAGTAGTCTGAAAATCTGTTTGGAGTATAACAATATGCAATGTAACAACTATGGGGGATTTCTTGCTGTCTTGAATTTGAAATCCAACATTGTTCTCACTGGGGTTTTTTTGGCTCAGTTTTGTTCTTTGTTTCATTCCCTTCAAAATAAAAAAAAAAAAAAAAAAGAAAGAGAAGTAAAGCTAGAAATGACGTCTCTCTGGATGGAAAATAGAATGCCCTTCCTTTAATGTTTTCTCAGTGTTTCTCCCCTCTAAAACTCACTGAAGTTCAAAGGCTAATGTAATGACACTGAAAAGTGGGACCTTCAAGTGACAACTGGGTGCTGAGGGCTCCCCACCTTCATAGGCGTCAGCAGCTTAATAAAAAGTGGGAGCAGTTCTCCTAGGTCTTCCATTTTTTTGTCATGTAAAGACATTGCATCACTCTCCTTTGGAGGACACAGTTTCAAAAGTACCATCTTTAAGACAAACTGAACTCTTGCCTGACGCCAGACCTGCTAGCCCCCTGACAATGGGCTGTCGGCCTCCAGATCCGCTCTTTACAAATTACCCAGGATCAAGCACTTTGTGATCGCAGAGCCAATGTGCCCCCTACCTTATGTCCAGTGAATTTAGGTCTTTAGTTGCATTTTTCACTTGTGCACTCTCATGTTTTGTCTCTCATTTCATCCGCGGTTAACGCCAGGACTGACCATCTGTCTTGTTCCCCAACATCATCGCTCGCTCTGCAGAACGTTTTGCTTTGACAGTTCTGATCTTTTGCTAATCACTTGCCATGTTCTAGTCCACATCCTCTAACCACCTAACTAGTATTTTTCCCGTTTCTCTCTCTACAAGTAACTCCCTCTACTACACGTTGTGGCCAACAAGACCAAAAGTGTATAATTTACACGGACTAGGGAAATTCATTCATCAGCTAGTTGTTTTACAAACTGACTCAACCTGACTTTCTAGCATTGTCTACACATTTCTTTCAAAACACACACAAGAACCTAGTTTTAACCTTCAAATGTCCTCTTGTGTCTCTTCACAGTCACCAGTGTTGCTCCCCTTGTCTGGGTCTATCCCTCCCCATTAAATGGCACACACTGTTACTCAGGGCATCAGCCTGCCTTCCGTTATTCTGACTCCGCGACGCTTTTTCCAAGGTACAACATGCTAACATCCAGTAAGTGTCTTCCAGCTGCTTTGCTGTAATTGACATCTGCTGACACCTCTCCTGTTAAAAGCAACTCTCTCCTAATTTAGGAACTATCTCTTATATTTCATCCTTGTGTTGTCATTGTGTCCCATCATCTCCCCACCAAAAAGCGGGCACATTAGAATGCCTGTTCCACGGTACTGTAAAACAATACACAAGGGAAATAAAAGGTGACGTGTTGTTTAATCCACTGGTATTTGAAAGAAACTGAGCTTCGTTGCTGCTATGAAGAATCCTGGTGCCAAGTGCCTTTTATTTCCAGAGTTCTTTCTTTGATTTTTGAATTGGGCAATCTAAAGTAAGATATTTTTTTCTAGACTTCAATTACCCTGAGTTTTTTATGTTGCTTGCCACCCAAGAAGGCTGGCCAATTCAGTACTGTATCCTTAAATGCCAAAAATTCTCACAGCAATTTATTAGGAAAATTGTATAAGTTGAACCCAAAAATTTTGACCCTGGGATTTTGCATAAGCATTCTTTACAAGTTTTCGTTTTATTGCTACATGTTAGCAGTGTAAAATGGTTACATTCATCATAGACGTTACCTAGCTGTTCTGTTCCAGCCTGTCTCTCCTCTGCCCTTCACCTACAGCCTCACTCCCTCCCCTTCTCTGTGCTGTGATAACCCTGAGGATGACCTTGGTGACAGCACATTCTAGGATGAGGATCCTAGAAATATGGAGACATTGATAATAGAAGATTCTAGAATGAGGATCCTAGAAATACGGAGACTGCCCACTTCCCTTTGACCCTTAACTTATCCAGATGGATAACTGAAGTTGGGCTTTTCCTGTAGAAGGCTTTTGTGTTTATTTTTGGACCCGCCTGCCCCTTTCCACCTCTAACTCTTTTTGTCTACTCATTCTTCCCTTCCCTCTTCTTCCTCTTTATGCTTACCTTGCCTCCTCTGCCCTCCTCTCCCCTCCTCTCCCCTTCAGCCATTCCCCACCCAAGTCCTGCCAGATACGCAAGACATAGCTGTTAGTTTTTATTATATTTCTGAGTTCATTACATCTGTTGTATATATTATCTTATCTTTCTTATTTATTAGTTTGTTGTGTATATTTATTAGTGTATATTTATTTGTTTTTTATTAGCTTATGTGTATTATTGTGCTTATTAATTATATTTGTTAGTTTATACTTATACTATTTATTAGCTTATTATGTTTATGATCTGCTAATTTGTGTGTTTATTATTTGTTTATTGTATTTATGACTTTTTAGGCATTATTGTGCTTGTTAGAGTAGATTTAGATGCTTGTCTTTATTCCCTTAAGACATCCAAAGAAGACTAGCAATCAGACATTGAAGATAATGATTAAGAAACTGACAAATATGTTCCCCCCCCACAGGGAAACAGGCTACAAGAAGACACTTGTGGAATAGAACACTCTGGAGCACTTAGAAAATCAATGGCTCCTGTGTGGAGGAAGAAATTCAAGTAGGAAAAGATAGAGTGTTGCAAACACTCTACAAGGGGAACTATGCAAAAGACAAATTAGCCAGACACGTCATCTCGGGTGCTGAGGTTACCATAAGAATCACTGATAAATCTCTGGTGAATACAGTCAGACTCCAGAAGCTGCCCAGAGAAATAAAAATAATGAGGATGCCAAACCATCAAATATAGTAAGGCTGTTTGAAGTCAAGAGTGAGAAAACTTTCTGTTTATAATGAAATATGCCAAGGTGACTGAATGTGTGACTACTGGGCTGCTCTTAGAAAAATGGACAACAGAGCTAAGTTTTGACAGATCCCGTCGTCAGGACTACACTGCCATGGCAAGGGGATCACACACAAGACCTGAACACCCCAAAAATGTTGTTAGATAAGGAGAGAAAATCAAATTAGCAGATTTTGGATTCATCACTGAATTGACTGTGGGCGACAAACTGGACACACATGGTGGCCCTGCTGCATATGCGGCCCCAGAAATCCACCTGGGCAAGGAGTACCAGGGGCCAGAAATCGATGTGCGGAGTCTTGGAGTGGTTCTGTATAATCTAGTGAGGGGGACGCTTCTGTTCAAAGGAAGAAATCTGAAGCAAATGAGAAACGGAATGTGCGTGGGGAGTTACAGAATCCCCTTTCACCTCTCCAGACTGTGAACAGTTCCTAAAGCGATTCCTTGTCCTGAACCCAAAGCAGCGTGGCAGTCTGGATGAGATCACGAAGGACCAATGGGCCAGTGAAGCTTAGGAGGAGAGGAACAACCATTTACTGAAAAGACCTAAACAACTCAGGCCTAAGAAGAATAAATATAATAACCACAACAGAATTCTCAGAAAAAGAACTTCACAGACCTCTGGCATAGAGCAAATATGATGAAAACTGTACCTATTTCTCCCGGGAGACAATCTTTTGAGCTGGATCCCCCTACACACACACTCCAGCTCCGGCAGGCACCTTTCACTTACTAAGCCAGCCAGCAAACTCAGCAAAATCACTGTCTGGGTTCATAGCCACAAAGTGCACACAGGTTACCTGCTGCAAGTCTCAGACACCGCACCCTGATGATACTGGACCAGCTAGTCCTTCAGCCGATTCCCATCTGAAGGAAGAGTCAGAGAAGCACTGCAGAGACGACCTCAAGATGAAATTCCATCCTACAAATCTGCAAAATCAGCCATCCAGGGCAAGAAGGTGGTTGCTACCATTTCCATATGTGGGAGCCTGAGTCATCTCGGTGAATCAGACTTTCCTGAACAGGAGAAAAGCCCTGCTGTGCCTGTAGTAGCACAGATGTGTTTAAAATAATGGCATAAAAACTTTCCTTTTGTGGTAAGACTTTCTCTGGACAGGATCGTGGTGATTGAAAATGTACAAGACATAAGCATCATTTCTGATGTGAGAAAAACAGCTGTTTTAACTCACATGATTAATGTGCAACCACCAGGCTGGCATCCACTTACCACCAGGCAACTCCAATGGTAGCACTTTGTACTACCCGCCAAGGAGGTTGGAGCCACCACACACATGACCCACATTCATCACCCAGCCTCTCCCAGAAAGAGTATCACTGTCCCAGACTCCATGTCCAGGCTCTGCTAGTTTTTTTTTTTTTTTTTTTTAAATTGGCTTTAAGACTTACAAGGTGTTAAAGGTATATTTGCCAAACAAATGTATGAAAAGAAAGAAACAAAACATCAAGCCCTCCACTTCACTTGAAGAAGGAAGTCCACTAGCTCCATGGACCCCAGGGACGTGCTGAGAGAAATCCACAGAGATCTGAAGGCAAATAGCTGAGCATAGGCGTAGGGGGCTGTTGGGAGCCGTGGCACTGTCAAGTCATCAGACGCGGTGATTGCGAGGCCTGTGGGAAAGTACAAAAGCCTGGGCTAGATTACCCCTCTCATCGAGCCCGCCTGTGTGGCACCTGTTTCTTATCACCCCACTAAGTTCCCGCCTCACAGGGTAGTCTGCCTAGCTATTAATCCTATATATAGCCAGTGCCTCCACCCCCGAGAGAGAGAGAGAGAGAGAAGCACGAAAGGAGCCGCGGGGAGCGGACCAGAGGAGGCTTCGGAGCGAAGCACAAAAGGAGCCGCGGGGAGCGGACCGGTAGAGGCTTCGGGGCAGGCTGTACGCGGAGAAGGAAAATAAAAGAAAAGGTTGTCCACCGCCAGACTTTGTCGTGTGTCCTTCCTGCCGGCCGGGAGCTCGGACACCGACATTTGGTGGCCCGCCCGGGGATTGATCAACCCCGAGACGCGGTGGTGGACTGCATTCTCCTACACAGTGCTGCAGCTGCAGGACAGGTGAGTAGAGGATAAGCCTGGGCCCTGGGTGGCGCGCACCTACAGGGTTTGTAGACTCCTCTCAACCTCACGCGTAAGTGGCGGGTTTCTTGGGCCTCACGCGGTGAGTATGAAACATAACACCAGAACTTAAGGTAATAAAAGAGTGTAAAACATAAACATAGAAGTAAAAATAACAGAAGATATATTAAAAATGGGAAACATGCCAAGTAAAGATACACAGCCTTGGTGTTGGTCCTTCGGAGACTCCTAAAGTCCAAGGACCTCAAGGTGGGGCATAAGACTTTAGAAAATTTCCTTGCAGAGATTGACAGCTTTGCTCCCTGGTTTCTGCCTACAGGGCATGTAAACCTGCCCTCCTGGGAAAAGTTGGGCAGAGACCTTTCCCTAGCAGAGCGGGAGGGTAGAGCTTCAGTCTCTGCTCGTCCGTTGTGGGAAATGATACACACGTGCCTAAAGAGTGAGGGTAGTTACGGGGGGAGCTCTCAAGAACTTGTAGAAGTACGCGAGGTGTTTGAACAGGCACAGTCAGGAAGCTCCCGAGAAGGGTCCGTCAAGGAGGGCAGAGATACAAAAGAGGAAGCCGAGGCGCGGTTTGTGTCTTTCCGCAGGAATCGGGACGAGAGCCAATGTGGGTCCCAGAGAGGTTGACGCGACAAGTCCCTCGACTGAAGATCAGGCCTGTTCCACCAGAGGCCAACCGCAGACCCAACAACAAGATGAGCCCTAAAAGAACTGCAGGACAATCCCTTTTTGGGGGCCTGGAACGGCTTGCTCCCCTATGTGCTACCCTTGTATACGCATGGCTCGCTCGCATGGCCTACGACCGCGTTTAAAAGTGACAGGCTTCCCACATTCTCCTCCCTAGACAACAACATGTAGCAGGGTGGATGAGTCAATGACGGGTAAGAGCGTGCCTCCCCAGCACGACTCAACCTAAGCCAGGCCCTACCCCGTTCCGCTCGAAAGCCGCTGGATTGTTAGATAAATTTCTCTCCGAGGGGATTCGTGGAGAGAAATGAGTGCATGCCTATGTGCAACCAGGTTCCGTCCGGTTCATTCCTGGCCCTAGAAAAAAGGACGAGGGCCTCAGGGCCTTGGTGGACCCTGGGACGGCCGACCAGGGTCTACGCTAAGGGCCTACGGTGGGCCTCAGTTCAGGGCATAGGCCTCTGCACTCTATCCAGGACGGGCTGCGATGCGCGTATTCATTTAAAATAAAATAGGGGGAGATGTTGGGAGCCGTGGCACTGTCAAGTCATCAGACGCGGTGATTGCGAGGCCTGTGGGAAAGTACAAAAGCCTGGGCTAGATTACCCCTCTCATCGAGCCCGCCTGTGTGGCACCTGTTTCTTATCACCCCACTAAGTTCCCGCCTCACAGGGTAGTCTGCCTAGCTATTAATCCTATATATAGCCAGTGCCTCCACCCCCGAGAGAGAGAGAGAGAGAGAAGCACGAAAGGAGCCGCGGGGAGCGGACCAGAGGAGGCTTCGGAGCGAAGCACAAAAGGAGCCGCGGGGAGCGGACCGGTAGAGGCTTCGGGGCAGGCTGTACGCGGAGAAGGAAAATAAAAGAAAAGGTTGTCCACCGCCAGACTTTGTCGTGTGTCCTTCCTGCCGGCCGGGAGCTCGGACACCGACAGGGGGCACTTCCGTCTCTTCTGTAGCAAAGGTGACTGGCCTGGTGTGAAGCTTGTGCAGGTGGAGATGGGAGTCTGTAAGCTGCCAAGACTGTCTGCGTAGGGTCCTTTTTAAGGATAAGGCAGACAGATCTGCAGCATTAGAAATTATTGCTTTGAACGTTGCCAGTGAGCCATGGCTATCCTGCACTAATTATCATTTAAATAACATGGCAATTTAAAGTGTTTTCCAGAACACCGATGCAAGTGTATAGAATAATGTTAGGCAATTACAACTGTACCTCATAATTAGGACTTCAAGTCTGAGGATGAGTGCAAAACATTTCTCAACAAATATATTTGTGTTCTCTGACAATCGATCTTTATGGTACTGCTTTCTTATTCTAGAGTCTTGGTGCAAAAAAGGTCTCATTCATGTTGTGAACTCCCATGGCATCTAGGTCAGGCTTGGCGTAGGAAGATGCTTTGTATTAGGAATTTAGTGGACTTGATTAACTTTCCAGTGAGCAGTAGATTAGACACTACACGTGGTTGAAGTCAGGTGACATCTCCGAATCACTGACACTCTGGAACTAGTGCAGAGGTCTAGAACTGCAGCTGGCAAGCATGGGGATTGGCAGGTACATTCAAGTACATGGCAGGCACCGGCCCTAGACCTCCACCCACAGCCACAGGGCAGAACCCTGCGAATCTGTCCCACTGCAGGGTCAACAGAGATAGCACTTTTTATGCAGGAACCATTGTTTCTAATGTGTATTTCTGTAACCTTTCAGTGATCTGGTTAGTGAAGAAAATGGGCTCTCTCACTTGGCAGGGGGCACACTGAGCAGAGTTCAGGGATTGCTCAGAAACTCAGTAGCTAGTTATTAAAAATCATCAACACCCAAGAGCCAAGATTAATGCCTTTGGAGGGAGATTGGTAAGTACCAGGCAGAAGAATGAGGATGCCAAATTTTACTAGTAGTGAACATAATAGTGTGGAGCAAAGATGCTCACTGCTTTCTGCCTGAGTCCGCCTGTCTTTAGCGGTGTGGGGAGGTCTGACCTACAGACGCGTGTGCTGCGGGCAAGGAGCAGACAGAGGCTGGAAACATGGGCAGATAAGAAGAGAGTGAGTTTGGGCTTTTCCCCCTTCATTCTTGAGTTGGATTGTTTTAACTGACGGTGAATAACTTTTAGACTTATTCTGTATTTTAATATCTATTTAGACAAGAGTGTCATAAAGTCAATATTGGTGGCTAGTGTAACCAAAGTTTGTGCTGTGGATCAAATATAATTATATCCCAGATAAACGATAATAGTGCATCTATTCATATTCTGAAGCAACGAGAGCTTACTAAGCTATGTTTCAGTTTATATATTGGAGACTACATTGTTAGGCACCTACAAGTCTGTGATGGCTGTACCTTCCTTATATGCTATTCCAAGGCTTAAATAAGATTGTGGGTTTTCTTTATTCTTTCAAACGCTTTGCTTTAGTATTTAATTTTCTTTTTTTCATGCTATTGTAATGATGGCACTTTCTTTTGATTCATGGCTTTGTTTTTTCCAGCCTGTCATGGTCTCACATTTTAAGTACAATATACCCCAGCAAGGTGTGGTTTAGAATTTATGGACTCAATCATTTGCAGATTTTTCCTTAGAATCTGACTAATAATTTTGGAAGAGTCTCATAATTTCGCAGAAATTACGAATATATTCCACATTTCTTTTTTTCTTTTTCACTAGGTTTGCTAGTAGCCAATCTGAACGCAATATTCAGTTTTCCTTGCTCCTGATTGGATGCTGCCCTGTAACACATGTCTGGGAGATGCATCGGCTTTTCCACATCACAACAGGTTGCTGTACCACTCATAGGTATTTTAAGTGTTCTTGCTTTGATCTTCTTAAAGCCCCAAGATCCAAGATCCCTAAGATGTTGCAAAATGCCCTGCATTTTCTAAACTTTTATTAATATAATATTTTATTGAATTAAATTGCATAACTGTGGAGATATAGTGTAGAGTCTAAACTATAAAAATAGGCATTTTTCTGAGGATATTTTTAATTCATGGTTTTGCACAATTTGTGGGTGCTCTGGAACATAACTGTTGTGTATTTCAGGAATCTTGCCGCCGTGTCATGAGGTGTTTCCCTCCGCTGTGTAACTGTGCCATGCCATGCAGCCTTGGATCCAATTGACTGTGAACTGAGGCTGCAAGCCAAAATAAACCTTTCCTCCTCTTAGTTGTGGGTGTCAGATATTTTTGTCTCAGCAACAAGAAAGTAACTAAGACATAAAAGAGATGTTACATTTTTTTTGTTTGAAATCAGCTTCAAAGATTCATCAGGTCTTAGTTACTTTTTCATTTCTAGGGCAAAATACTGAACCACCACAAATTAGAGGGAAGGTTTATTTTAGCTCCTGGTTTATAGAGGTTTCAGTGCATTGGCTGGCTCTTAGGCAGGGAGGTGTGGTGGAGGAGAAAACAACCTGTATCTGGAGAGGTAGGAAGCAGCCAGCAGTGAGCCTTCCTTCACTGTTTATTCCATCCAGGCTACAAGAACACTGGCTGCTGCCACCTACACTCAGAGTGGGCCTGCCCATTATCCACACCTAGAGCCGTGCTAAACCAGTCAGTAATCTAACCCAGCTGCTGCATGCCCATAATCCCGTATAAGAGACTCATGAGCCTCCCCAAAGCCCCACCTAAGGGTGCACGCAGCTTTGGAGGTCATCTAGATATAAGCTTTGGGAGGTCAACTGGATAGAAGCTATAACACACTATTGAGACAGAATTCTGGAGCACATACACACATTCAGACAGCTTGTGAAAAGCTGGATTTCATTATATTATTACGTTAACTATTACTGTGGGTTCTTTTGTACTTCCCACAGGTGTCCTCTTCCTGACAGCAATGTATTTCAGGCTCATTGTAGAATTACCTTCCCTACATGTGAAATCAGTTATTTCTCCCAGAAAATTTTGTTTCTTTAGTAAGAAATGATATTTAGGAACTATAGGGAGTCCTAGGGATGCTTATTCTAAAGGGTTTTCATTATCTTCTGGGCTTTTATTCCACTTATTAAACTGTTATTTATTTTCTTTATAGTCAGGTGATGTTAGCTCTCTGTTGGCCAGAAGCCTGTGTCTGTGTCTGCTTCCCAGCACAGCTCTTAGTGGTGTCCCTCCAAAGCAACACGCTTCAGATGATACACTATATGGCCCCCTTACTTATTAATGACTTGATGCTTCTGTTGGGTGCCAAAAGGATGCCTCCTTTATATTGAAAGTCCTATAGTTTCAGGAGCAAATCTCTTGGTGTTGACCATCTGGGCCAAGACATGGTGTGCTCTTCCCACAGGTGGGCTCCAGCTACTTTCCTTGCAGGAAAGCTGTCTTGTATTGTAAATGTGTTCTATGCTGTTGCTTTAGGCATTTCTTTGGGGATTCTACTATTTCATAAGCTGAATCTTCTTTGCCCGTACTCTATACCTGTTTTAGATGGTCTTTAATTTCTTCATTTTTTCTCCTTTCAGTTTTCTAGCTTTCTAATTATCTCTCTGCCGTCTAATCTTTTGAATTTCTTCCCACTACTTCACTATTCTGAAGTATTTTCTTCATTTTTTAAAATTTTCCCCCTGAACTCTGACAGAACAATTTCACTTCTGCTGTAGAGCTTTCAATCATGTCATCACCTAGATTTTCTATTTTTAAATTGTGCTACATTTTGATAATTACTGTACTGTACTTTATTTTAGTCCCTTTTGTAAGAGTAAGCTAGAGGAGTTTTTTTTTTTTTTTTTCAATTTTGTGTCTTATTTTTCTGATTGGGCTTCATTTGCAGTTAATCTTCCTCTTTTTGAATAAATATTGCCCTTATGGAGTGTGATGGAAATCTTTTTCATTTTCCTGGTGTAGTGTGGTCACCTCTCTTGGGGGACAAACACTTGGTGGTAATTTCTGAGTTTCAAAGCGTTTAGGACCATGAGAACTCTCCTTTACATCCCTTCCGCCGTCTACACCACGGTAACCCTCACACGTCCTCAGCACAATCCCGCTGCTCCTGGTTTGGCTTTAACCATTTGTACTCTGGTGTCTTCAGAGGATCCCTTGTCATATCACTTTATTGATGGGTCTATCCCTCCCTTTTGTTTTGCCTTACTATTCTAGCTTATCTATTTGTATGTAGATTTTTAAAAACAATATTTCATAGTGTTTATACAGTATGCTGCCATAAAGTTGTGTTCTACAAGTTCAAGGTTAGCACTCTGCCTTGCTGCCTGAATCCTGAATGTTATGAACTCTACCCAGCCAGGAGTACGGCCCTGGCACCGCACTCCGGGGGTGTGTCCACACTAGCTACACAAAGGATCCAAGCTCTGCCCAGACCTGTGTCCCAGAGCAATCCATCAGAGGAACACCCAGCCAGATTCACAGGTCACAGAGGTACCAAACGCAGGACCAACCTAGCCAATGGGTCTTAGAGAATTTGAGCTCTCTCCATCATAGCACAAGGCCTCAGCTCCATAGTTCAGGGATACAGCCCACTTAGCCACATTGCAGGTCCTGGAGGTTCTAAACACCTCCCAACCAAGAGCAAGGTCCTGGCACCATAGGCCAGGGGGCCATGCTCCAGGTAGGCATGTGCTCTAGAGGCTCTGAACTCCCCCTAGCCAGATGAAGTTCCTGGCAATGGCACACTCCAGGGATATGCTCTGCCTGGTCAGTTGAGTCTCAGAGGTTCTGAACTCCACCTAGCCAGACACTAGGCCCCAGCAACACACCCTGGGAGTGCACTCCTCCTAGCTACATGGAGCTCTGCCATCCCAGAGTCCCAGAGCAACCCAGTGTGGTACATGAGGGGAACACCTGGCTAGCTCCACAAGACCACAGGGCACAATTCTGTAGCACCATAGTTCAGGGGTGCAAACCACCAGCCATGAGGATATTGGAGGATTGAAGCTCTGCCC